CAGTGTCCGGGCCAAACGCGGTATTGATGTCAGCGATGGAATTGGCTGCCTTCTTCTTGATTCGGAAGTCATAAAGAAGAAGCAGGCGAACTTGCTCCTTAGTAAGAGGGTAGGGCTGGTTCATGGCTGGAGAGCACCAGGGCTGTAATAATATACGGTTGTATGCCAAAGGACACGACCTACTTATAAACACACGCAGAACATTCTAGCATGCTCTGGAAAAAAATTGTACTGGATATTCAAGAAATTCCAAGAACTTTCTTTCCAATCAGATATGTTCCAAAAGTTTCTGTCTGAGATATAAGGTAATGTGATAGACTCACAAACAAAATTTATTTTTCACATTACCTCCCTGGACATACATTCTTGTGCAAATGATGGGATCCGACTTCAATCTCATGGGAAAAAAGTCATCTTCCATAAGTTTTCTCAAAATGATTGGACAACTTCATAGTATTCAGTTTCACCTTCATTGCTGCTTCACAGGAAGTTTTACACTTAACTTTTCAATTCTCAAGTTTCTGAAGCTGCATGCACACTCTGGCTTGGGCAAGAGTTTGGCTAGGGGGACAACACAGTCTAGGAATGATCATGAATGCTTTTTTTAAATAATACAAATTGCACAACTGCTCTGTATTCAACTTTTGCCATTTTGGAATGAAATAATATCAGGGGGACTGGAAAGTAATGTCGTTTTTTCTATTAATCACAAACATTTGTTTTTACAAGTAGTTTTTTAGTTTCAATCAATTATGTAATCCCCATCATTATCAAGGGCAGTTCCCCATCTTTTTTTATCAAATTTTCAATTCCCTGTTTATAATAGGAGGCTTGCTTTGAGGCAAAGAATTCCAAGAGAGCAGTTGATAACATCAATATTTATGAAAGTCTTGCCACTAAGAAACTGCTGCAGAGATCAGAATAAATGATAATCTGATGGGGCAATGTCGGGTGAGTATGGGGGTGAGGCAGGACTTCCCAACCCAAATCTTTGATCTTCTGTTGGGTCCTTTTTGCAGAATGTGGTCTCGCATTGTTGTGCTGCAGAATTACCCCTTTTCTGTTGACCAGTGCTGGACTCAATCAGAGCCTGGTGCAAATGGTCCAATTGTTGACAATAGAGGTCTGCAGCAATGGTCTGACCTGTCTCCAATAGCTCAAAGTGTATTATACCGACATTGTCCCACCCAACGTTCAACAGGACTTTCTGTGGGTGTAGGCCTGGTTTTGCTGTCAGAGTCGGCTGCTGGCCAGGGGATAGCCACTGGTTCTTCAGCTTGGTGTTGACATAAAGATCCCATTTCTCATCTCCAGTAACAATTTGATGAAGAAATGGTTCTCTCTCTTGTCTCATCATCAATGAATTGCAAATTGTTGTGTGCTGGGCTTTGTTTTCAGCTGAGAGTTGGCGGGGAACCCAAACGCCATGTCTATTAACCTTCCCGATCTGTTGAAGGTGTTCTTGAACACTGGACCACGAAGAATTGAGTTTTTCTGCCAATTGTTGCATGGTTTGATGGGGGTCTGACTCAATCTCCGACCTCAGGAGATTGTTGTCCAGCTTCACTGATCATCCTGAATGAAGGTCACCTGAGAGGTCAAGATTGCCTGACCGGAATTTTCTGGACCAATGCTGGCATTTGCAGACATCCAATACATCTCCATAAACACCACAAATGTTCTTGGTGGCCTCCACTGCCTTACTTCCCTTATGAAACTCATATAGCATGCAATGTCGTATATGGATCTCTTTAGGAATGTGGCCAGACATTTTTGCTGACAATTCTGAAAAAAGTTTTGTCATTGAAATATGTATGGCAAAGAATGGTTCTCTTGGAAAACATGCCAAAAATAACGTTTACATTTGGGTTACAAAAAATTACATTACTTTCTGGTACCCCTTATATTTGGCTGGAACACTTTAAAATGTCAATTATTTAAATATATAAATGAAGTTAAAACCAATTGCTGACACTTGAAATTACCAAACAGGGTGAAAGAATATAGAAACTAATTTTTAGCCTTCTATCATCTATGTCATCTATCATCCTTCTATCATCTATGTCAGGACAGAAACTTTTGGATCAACCCTCATGTTATAAATTTATAGATGCATTGCATAAGAATGTACAAATAAATTTAAATGCTTATTCCAAAATTCAGCAGGATCCCATTAGCTGAAGCAAGGAGACTGAAGTTTTCAGGTACCACATTGTATTTTCCATCTAAACAAGCAAAACCCAGTTTAATATACCAGCTCGACCACAGCTGCAAATTCAGATTCATTCTAGTTGAGAATCTACTAAAAAGGGATTTGAATTTACAACAAGTACAACTGAAATTTGAAATTGGGAACTTTTACATACTAAAAATATGGAGCAAAAAAAAAAAATTACAGGCAGAAACAAATAGTTTTTGCTGTTCCAAAATGTCTTAGTTTAGATGTTAGAAACTTACATTCCTAGGCTGCAAACAAAGGTTTGCTTTCATAACCCGAATACTTATGAAGAAAAGTCTCAACTGCATACATTTTGGAAATCAGAAAAAAAATCAAAATTACATGTGCTTCATTCTATATAATGGCAGCAGTATTGATGAAAATAGCTGCTCTAGTTTTTTTAATATTTTGAAGGGACCATCAGATATGAAACTCACAAATGAACAACATGCGTACTAAATTAGATACTTAACCCTTTAAGTGCTGAGTTTTCACTTGACCTCCTAAGTGATGCACGTACAGTGTATGTGAAAATGACTTGAAGGGTTAAGCAAACTAATTGGCTTTGATGTCAAGATTTCTTGAAAACTAATATATTCCAACAAAGGCTTTTGCAGCTCCTGATTGCATATAATTACAAATCAAAAGAGAAAATCCTCTTTTAACCATTGTAAACCTTTTACTCATTAATTATTTTACAGCACATCTTTCTCAGTTCTTATTGCATAAACACATTCATAATTGTGCCCAATATGTGAAGCAGCCTCTATTTTCAAACATTTTTTTTGCTATGGTGATATCAGCTCTAATTTGGTAACAATTGGTTGTGCAGTTGTTATCTGCATAAAAACCTGGATGAAGCACCAGGTTCAGAAAAAGAGTAATTCCATATGAACTCAACCAGAGAGGGCACTTGACCATCTCGGATTTTTGTGATAAAAATTTTCAGCAATTGCAGTCATCTAACAACTCTGTAAAAAAAGAATTGGCTCAATTGGGTATGCAACTAGTGAGATATCATCTCACTAACTCTGGGAAAGAGTGGGAAAATCCCATGGATGGTAAAATTTTAATCTCGGGAATCGTTCATTATACGGAGGCGTGCAATAGCTCAAATCAGAGCTCTTTGATAGTTCAACAAATATATTGACACAATCTTGGAGTTTGAATGAGATTTCAGCATCATAGTAGAGTTTGAAAATGTGGAATTTAGGCAATTTTTACCATCAAATATCCCTATGTAGTGAGGGCAAAGGAATATCTCTCATTACAGTAAGTTGCACTCTTTTGGTTGCATCGATGAAGCAAGTTACTTGTTTAACTTTTGTCTGGTACATAGAGGAAATATTGTCTTAAAATTGGAATCTTCTCATTTTTCGTTGGCTTTGGTTGTGTATTTTTCGACATAGAGGAGCACTTTACAGTATCATGGGAGGGGGTCTTCAGGATGGTGAGCCCGAGATCTTTCCAATGATATATAATTTGTAGTGCCTTTTTTGAAGAAATGAAGGAAAAAATTTGTTTAAAAATTGTGCACTCAAACATTTTACTTCTTGGTGAAGTGACTGAAAACAATGTAATACATCCCTAGAATGGTCTCTTGGAGCAGTATACATTGCCATGAGCAAATCATAGTTGCTTGAAAATCATTTAACAACAAAATGTTGTTAACCACAACCTTTCTCACCACCTGATCTCTGATCATGAATATCAGGTACTTCTTTTACTCACAGTACAAACTAAAGTCTCTGGAGTTTATTTTTCAATGGTTTGTGTATAGTTAATGCAATCAAGTAAGTACAGACAATCCAGGCTCACCTTCATGGGTATCTTGACTTTCCACAAAGCCCCTCCCATCTTGCAATTCAATTGCATGGCAATCTTGGTGGCTACACTCATGAGACCTTTAGGCTTGGACAAGGTTTTAGCTAAGACCACTTGTGATGGTACTGGTGAATCCACACATGTTGTAACTTTCATCATATTGTACCTTTCTGTGCGGTTATTTGGAAAGACACACAATACCAAGTCAACACCACGATGGATTTTCTGGTTCAATGTCCCCGAGACTGTGTTGGGACGATCGTCTGGAAGCATGATCCTGCAACAACATAAGCAATGTTACTGAAGACATTTGCAAGATTATCTACATCATTAGTCTGAAAAATCTTTTCACACAAGCAAAAAGAAGTAAATTTCTACAATATTTGGCATGTTTTCTGCTATGTTATCATGAGATCTCCTTATAAGCCTGTGCTCTTCTGCTCGTATTGCCATTCCCCCCCTTCTGCATCTATCCTTCAATCTTTTGATCCTTTCTCTCTTCTTTGTCTCTCATTATTCATGTTTGTATCTTGGCACCAATTCTGATCCTCTTTCCAATTCTTATCAATTCTGATAGTTGATATTTGGATTTTGCTTGATCAACTAAAGAATCTGAAGAAAATAAAAAAAAATAAAAAATATATATATAAATTTCTACAATATTTGGCATGAAAAAACATTCTGATGGTGAGTCCCACATGGTGGCAATGAGGGGACCTCAAAAAGCAAAAAGGTAATATCCAAAACAAAATCTTCAAAATGTTACTTTTGTCAAAGTTAAGATTTCAACCTCCGAAATTCAGCGATTTGAAATGCAGACAAAGAAGGCTTTTTTTTTTTTCAACATGAATTTTTTCCTTTTCATTTGTTGCAGAAAGAGTTCCAATTTTGGCACCTCTTAATGGAACCAAGTAAGGGGGTAAGTTCTATTTCACAGCTCTCTGTAGGGGATGTCACAAAATAACTTGACATTTTTTCAATAATTGTTATTAAATTTGGGCATGGTGTCCAGTGTACTTTTTTATTATTGTTTACATTATGATACTAAAGAATTCCAATTTCACAAAGTCTCAACATTACATTTTCAAATAAAACCATTCAAGGAAATTAAAATTATACTTTTTTAAAGGATCATTCCTGTACCCAAAATCCAAAAAAAAAATTTATTGAAAGCCAAAGGTGCCAAATTTTCCCTTCTGTATCAGAAACTTAGCATAGCAAGCTTTTAGATTGAGAATAACAAGTGAGAGGAGTTAGTAGACTTATCTCATCAAGCAAGAGAGAAGTATTGAAACTGAATTCATCACCAGCTCTCCCATCACTAATTTTTTGGTGGTTGAAATTTTTTGTTTTTACCAACTAAAATATTGCAGATGCATGAATGCATTTAGATTTATTGTCACTATCTGGAGTTCTTATTGATGACTTGCAACTTTTACTAATTGAAACACAAAAAACTGATGAAATAAGTAATATTTTGCCTCATTAAAGTTTAAAAAAGCCATTAACCAGCTCTTTGACTTGAGTAGTTTAGGAAGATGGTGATTTTGTAGAAGGGCTTCCCTCCCAAAATGCATGAAAGACTGTGTGAACCTGACAGTTGAAATGTAATATTTACTAGTTTCTCATAACTCCCAGAGTCATATGTTCATTTTTTTACAGCTAAATCAGAGTTGGTGGTGCAACCTACTTGCTGATATTCACATGATCTGAAATGGAAAGGCAGCACTCTACGCTCTGGTCAGAAACATACATTTAACTGAAAAAAAGTGGGGGGTGAGGATTTGTCATTCCTGCCTCCCAGCTTCTCTTTCACTGCATACAATTTCATAATTTCTTCATAAGTCCCATGATCCCAGAGAGAGGGAGTCGGGCATTCTTTGATGCCTGTGGATTTGTCAAATCTTCTCTGACACATGTGCTCACTTACAGGAAAAAAGAAAAGCATTAACAGGCACTAAGGGTCAACTCATACTTTGCATCTCTTGTGTTTGACATGCAATTAGGTGATGCAGGCAACATTTGTCTGCACACATCCACATATGTTCAAATGCAAGGGAACATGTGTGTGTATCCATGCCTACATGCATTTGAGTGTCAATAGAAAATGCAAGGCTTACATTTTGTGTTCAGTCCCATTAAATTCAAAATGCCAAAATGCAGTCAATTTTCCTTCATTCACACATAGTATTTCCACCTTTGCACTTGCATGTGGATATGCTTGAACTCATTTAAAGTTCTTTCCAACACAAAGGAAAATGCAAACAAACACATGCATTCATGCATATGAATGCAAGACACATGGGAAAAAACAAAGTGCAAAATGGCCTTACGAGGTTGAACTCATAGCCATGAGGCCATATTTCAAATAACCAAATGAAAGGAGGGACTTTGAAGTCAGACAAGTCTGTCAGATATCAGGGCTCAAAATCTTACTTTGTGATGCCATACTAGCAATCAGGCATTTCTCTCTGAATCTTGAGGTTCTGACCTCATGAAGATTAATTAGCTAATTGGCCAAAGGAAAACCATGAAGGTCATGAAAGGATAATTCCTTATTTCCCTGTGTACCCAATCTGTTTCCCTGCCACTGTATCATCTGGGTCTTGCATGATCTGTTTCTTCCTCCAGGATTTATTAACAAATGAGCCCTCTGTTCTCTTACGTCTGGACTGCCTCAAATATTTTTCTTAGCACAGTAATTAGGGAAAATTTTCTGGATAAATTGACAAACTTTTATCATCACTAACCACCAGCATCAAACTCACATTATGGGTGGTGAAAGATTCATGCCCATTCTAGGCATAACCTGACGAAGAGTGCTGACAAGCTGCTGGGCTTTATCACTGTCTCGCTGAGTGGACAAGACCAGCCAATGCTTCAAATCCCGACTTCTCTCCAAAGGAGACTCTACCACAACAGGTTGGATTCAATCACCAATTAGGTTATCATCATTGTTTGGGATTACAATCATTTACAAAAGAAGAGGACTGAGCTCACCTCGAACTGCTCGTGACCAATCAGCTTCATCAGCATTGTATTTATAACTTCTTTCCCCTTGAAAGATGACCTCAGGCTGGAAGACTCGACCAGGAATTGATACCATTTCACGAACAAATTCCAACCCCCAACTTTGCATCTTCTGCTGCACATCCACATTTGAAATGAGGCGTTCCAAGAATGCCATAATGGCAGCAACTCTGTTATCTGGGCTCAAGCATGTCACTCGATTCAGCTCACTCATGATTGAAAAATCAGACCTTTAAAAGACAAATTGATAATGTATTATAATTCCCCTGTGTCAAAGATGAACAATTTAATGGAAAAATGGAAGAATCAGACCTCATTTCATTACTGATGCCAGTCATGAAGCATAACTCAGGGACAAGTAAGATGTTATGAGTCCTTCCACGTCTCACATCTCTTTTTGATGGACGTGACACCAGCAGCGGTTGCCCTTTGTCTTGGATTCTAATGTTGTATTTCTGTTGAAACATCATGTGAGTAAGAAAGATTCCACATACAAAAGCTAATGAGAATAACTTAAAATTTGAACTTGCCTTTAAATAATAATCCAGGTAAGTGACCTCTTCATTTCCTAGTGTGAAGGTATTACTCACTTGAGCATTCCAATCTATGTCATCAATGCGATAGGTTTGATCATTGTATTTTGTGATCACAATTGAACCTACTAACTGCTTGAACACTTCATCCTGCAAATGCGCCAAATCTCATAATTAGTTAATGTTCATGTTTTCATTCAGATGTCACTAGTACAAGCCACTTGTTGCCCATAGCCAGCAGGGGAGTTCTAATGTATCTAATTTAGAAATAAGCTTGTGACCTCAAAATGAGGATGGAATGAGAATAGTGTGAAATCAGGAAGTCTGATCAAATCCTTAACTGTACAGAATGAATATCAGTGCAAGAAAACTTTTTTCCTATTGTAACACCACCAGGTTATTGGACTAGGAAATATTTTTGAAGATAACAAGTAGAGAAGAATAGATTCCAATGTAATGTTTCTCTGAGCAACAATTCCTTGCATATTCCAGGCTAAAAAAAAAATGCAAAACACAATTAGTACACAATTAACATGTACCCATTGAATCCAGCTAGATGAAAGCACATTTTCCCTGATTTGGACATTCAGGAAACTATAAAGAAAATCTAGAGTATAGAAAAAGCCTGCCCTACTAGAGCAAAGCTATGTCCTCAGATACTTGAGAGACAGACCTGCTCCTCTACTTGAGAAGTTCATGACTCCATGATTTAACATTTCTCTATTACCTGAGGAAAACCAGGGATAACCCTGTACAGAAACTACAGCTACTCTTTCCTAAATGAATAGAAAATAAATAGCCATAAATTTCAATTTTGTCTAAGAAAGATTAAATTGTCAAAATAATGAATTTCAAGCATTTGATTGTATTTTCCAGGGTTACTCCCTAAAAAAAAAAAATATACAAGAAAGCTTTCATTTCATGGCTGTTCTCAACAGGAAATTTACTCTGATTAACCCTGGGGTAGGAAAGAGACTATTTGTATTCTAGTACAATTATATCTCAAAAAAAGGAGGGGCACTATTAGCCTTAAATTTGCCCCTCCCAAGTAATAGTAGTCCTCCACTGCTGGTTATGGGCCAGCATCGCAGGAATCTGAAAAGAAACACACTTGGAACTGGTTTCGATCTCGGACTCTTTGCATGATGTTGCTCATATGATGCAGAACTGTGTCTGTCCGCATCACCTTGTGAGCAATTTGTGCACACATCATGACTTGCTCTTCCCTCTGAGAAATGGATGTCACGTAGCCTGGTACAACTTCAAGAGAGTATTTAGGGATTCTATGCTTCTGCTGCAAATCATAGTAATTTCTCCCTAGCAATGTCAGCTGAAGCAAATGGCTGAACTGCCTCACAAGGAGATTGAAAATTTGCAGGATGGCAACATCACCAGTTCGAACTTCCCTAGCATGGCGAAGTGTGATCTTCATCCTAACACCATCTTCTCGCATGCTATACAACTCCCGTGGTTGACTTGGCTGCAACGAGATATGAAACTGTCATAAGCCTCAAGGCAAATATATATCAGACAAATTTTTTATTATTATTTCCCCCCCCCCCCCCTCTACATGGTACATTCAGTGCAGCCCACAGCTGCTTGCCAATCCAAATGGAAAAAATATAAAGTCAAGAAGGAAAATCAACTGGATTTCTTCAAAAACAGCCTAATCAATATATGTACAGACTACAAGAGAAACAGCAAATTTTCCCAAGTAAACCAACATATCATTTGTAAAAAAAAACAACAACAAAAAACAGTTGCCTGGGTCAAAAGTTAAAGCCAACAACCAGTTTGTTGAATACTGCTAAGACACTAGAGATAGTGGAGTTTTTCACCAGAAACAGTCAGCTCTGGTAAATCCAGGACAGTGGCAGCAATCTGATTGAGGGGGGGGTGTGATGAATATTGGCTTCAATTGAATTTCTGCTTGTTGGTTGTTTTTCATCCTCATTACCAATGAAAAATATAAAAAAGAGAATTATTTACTAATAAAATTTCTGGAAATTCAGGACTATGCTTGTAATCAAGCTTCTTTTATAGCTGAAGACAATAATGCAATCAACATCTTTCATACAGATAAAGGCTATGGTGCCTCTTTATTGCTGAAATAATTCCACTATCACAGATGCACACTGGCCAGCCTGTCTCTGTTACAAGAAGTTGAAAGAAAGAAGAAGAAAGAAGAAGAAAGAAGAAGAAGAAAGAAGAAGAAGAAGAAAGAAGAAGAAGAAAGAAGAAGAAGAAAGTTGATTCAAAGTCAATTCACTCGAAACAACTGCTTTTCAGAAAAGCTATATTATTGAATGGAAAGAAAAGCTAAAATTTGCACATAATTTTCAAACATGTAGATTAGTTAATCTCAAAGAGCTTCCTATTAAGTAGGTGTGCCAAGATGCCTTTGGTCTTGGCCATGTTCACTCAACTGTGCACCATTGACTATAAAGGTTTATTCAATCCATATCATGCTCCCTTTTCTAATGATAAAATATTCCTGCATTAAGGGCATATCTTTCAAATATATGCACACAAAAGTTGTCAGACCTGATGACTCAAAAAGGATAAAGGATAACAAATGGTAGCATTTTTTGCCTATCAATCACACCATTCAAATTTCCAATCAATACGACATAGTATTGATACTTTCTTCTAAACTCAAAATGATGTTAAGTATGACAGAATCACAAACAATATAAAAATATTCAGAAGAGTATGGAAGGAGTATGGAAGAGAAGAAGTGAGTAGTACAAGGATGTAATAGCAGCAATTGACAAGGTTCATGGCAAAAGAACATGCCCCTTACTTCTCTTAATTTTGAGTCCCAGCCCTGAGCTCCTTGAAGATGAATTTTCAGCAAATCCTAAGCATGAAACATTTAAATTTGGTTTTGAATGGAATAGATCAGTCTTCAGATCATAGCTAAGCTACCTTTTGATGTACCACAGTTAACCCCAAAGGGGGTCTGTTGGATCCCAAGACCACAATTTTTCTGAACAGCATTCAAACCATTGCAGACATTTTCCTGTCATTTTTAGTATTTGTCCTTCAAGTCAAGGAGACCCTGATGCCAGAACATCACCAACCTGAAAATTTTCTAAAAGTAAGAAAAAATTATTTTTCGATTTGAGTAATGTAACTGGGTAGGGGGGGTCCACTGGACCCCTACTACATTCCATATCACATACACAATTTTATCCCTTGACTCCTCCATATTTCACAGCTTTATCACCTAATGTTTGCCTGAAGGGCCTTCTGACAACTAAAGTAAGAGAGAAAAAGGGAGGAAAGAGGGGAATCCCTGATTTTAATTTAGGCTCATGGGAAAGGATTCCTCCCCAAGCAGGATCTTCTGAAGAGATGAGTTGCTAATATGAAATTTGGGTAATCCCAAAAGAATGTTGCCCCTAGCACACTCGCACATTTCTTTATACTCTTATGGGATGTGTTGGAATAACGTTCCCCATAAGGTTCGGTATAGCATAGTCATGACATCAAGTCGGTCTCACCCAGTGTTAGTAGTTCAGCTTTATCTGAAAATTTTCTTTTGTGTTGCATTGTTACTTTTTTCTATTTCACGTTAGGCTAAGTTTGTTTCTTGGTCTATAGACTTTTGATTATGAAGCTCAGAATGGACTAATGCAAAAAAAAGGCTTCAGAAATCTGAGACTAATGATCAGACTGCGAAGCCATAAGCTTATACACCTCATAAATAAATGTTTGCAACAATTCCATGACGTGACTTTCTGGTACGTCAAGCTTTTATTCTTGGTCTGGAACCACATCAACTTCTTTTATTCACAACATCAGGGTTAATGTTACTCCAATCATATAAGATGAACATTACATCATGTGTGAAAAGAGAAGGTAAAATGGATGTAAAAGGTACCTGAAAGATAAATTGTGAATTACAGGTGATAGGCAAATGTAAGTGCAGGTAAAGTTTTAAAAAAAATGGGTAAGAAAGAGGGGAACTATGAAACTGAGGTAAATTACAGGTAAGAATGCAGCAAAATATTGCAGTGAAATTTGGTAGCATTAAAATTCAGACAATGAAACAGGCAAGAAAATTAGGAAAATTTCCCATTTTTATACCTTAGTTTTACCATCCAAATTTTATCTGTAGTAAAAAAAAAATTTTTTTGATGCAAAATAATGTTGCTTTACTTTTGAAATTCATTGGAATCAGTAAAAGAAAGATGTTGCTTAGTGGTAAGCTTGTTTTGCCTTCTGTTTTCCCCCACTATATACTTAAAGTAATAAAAGGTTCAATGGACCCCCCCTTGCCTGGTTACGTTCGTCTCTTACCTTGCCTGGATAAGGGTTAAATGATGATACATAGTCAACATATCACCATACTCCATGTAATAAACCTGAACACAATTCTTGTAGGAAAGCTGCAGCAGTTGAAATAAACCCTTGATTGAGAAAATGGGAACTCACATCAATAGTAGCACGATTGAAGCAAAAAAGCATAGTGCCATCAAACACATAGCCTCCAAAGATATCATGATGATCACGCAGAAGACGCTTGCGTACTCCAATTCTATCTTCTTCGGGTTCAAAGTCCACACGATATTGTTGGATGGTAAATTCAACATTTCTCTGGGTCAGAGGGATATAGTTAGCCCGCAAAGTAACTGCTGATCCCAAAGTACCTGACAGGGAAATGAGATCATCCTTTCATTTTCAACTTCACTTGGATGTCAGCACCATCATTTTAGCAACACTTTAGTCCTGTAACATTCCATGGTTAGATAAATATAACATTCCATTTAAATTTATCTTGTTGAATGAATCAATCATAAAATGTACAATCAATCGTAAAAACTGCTTTGTCACATGCAAACTGTCACCAAGGAAACCATATCAACTCACCACACTTGGTGGTGCAATTGGCTGGACGAGGTCTGAGGAGATGTTCACCAGATTGAGCCATGCCTCGCCTTCCTCGGCTTGCACCTCTACCCACTGATACACCTCCATTCCCACCAGCTCCATTTCCTGATCCTGAATCTTAAGGATCAACAACAGTTGTGGTCAACAAATCTGACAAGAGATGGATACAGAAAAGGAAAAAAGCATTACCTATTGAGAGAGCCTGAACACCAGCTTGAATTCCAGTAGCAGAATCACCTGGTCTAGGTGCTCCACCTCGATGTAGTGCACGACCCCCTGACACAGCCTTCAAATGAGGGAGTGAGGGCACTGTTATCAACAATCTCAAAATTGAAACATGTCCAGTCTCAAAGGGCATCACATGACAGTCCAAGGTTAACAGTCCATCTGATGACTGGTGACAACTTTCTCCTTAGTTCAAGTTTTAATAACAATGGGTGCATAAAGATCACTAGATTCCTGCAGATATCCAACCAGAATGACAGGCATATGCATCCAACATTAAATCATGTATGATAAGGCCTTTAAATTGCAATTTTTGTGACAAATCTTCATACACCTAACATTTGGGTCTTGTGCTCCAGTCCCCTAAATGTCAATGAGTGGCTTCAAACATGGACAGGATATGACATGACAAATATGGGCAACAAACATGAGGGGAGTTCAAATAAAAAGGTAACAAAGGTGGCTGGGACCTGTGAGACACAAGTTTGCAAGGCAGCAAAGACATGAGCATATTAGGCCTAGAATTTCTCAACACAACATTAAGATATACAATGTGCACAGTACATTACTTTGCAACTGCAGGAATAAAATGGCAAACAATCATACAAGCTGTACATGAAAAAGCAGCATTCTGAAATATGATTTCTTGTACCAGGGGGGAATTATCATCCCATATTTAAAAGTAAATGTATGATGTTTGGTATAGACTGGTCAATGTTCATAAATCATGTGTAATGTTTTGAAAGGTGGAACAGATGTTGGCAATGATCCAGGTCCTGACCAAGCTGAATTTGAATTGGATGCAAGCTGGATTCATCAAGTCAGGAAGTTAGAGACTCACAGTGTTACTCATTGCAGTATCATTTCCTGGTACTCTAACTCACTATCACACACTACATTCATTTCCTGAAGAATTAGGGATGGTATTTTCCTCTAGTAATGCATACATCTTACTGCAGAGAGCTGCTCTTCAGCTCTGGGCAATAAGACTTGTACAGCTCAAGAGCTGTACAAATCTTATTTGACAGCTCATTAGTTTATATGCCATATCACTCACACAACTACACAATGATGTAAGGGGTACATCTGATCTACAAAAGCTGTGTTGAGAGGTACTAGTCCCCACCAATTTCCATTTTATATTGCTGCCCTGTAACCCTGTGTCTGAAGGACCTGAGAGACCTTTGTAACCTTTTCATTTGAACCTCCCTTGTAAGACGGCTATGTAGGCCATGATGGGAAATTCATATGTATAGAATATCACCTTCAGATATGATTATATCTGATGGATACTAAACCTCTTGCAAACTCCATACAATTTCATATATGCCTAATTTGTAGAGGGACACATGAAAATTTCCTGAGTTTCCACATATGTGTATATTTGAACAATGCTCAATAGCATACTATAGGGTACTGAGGAAATGAACACTTGTTTTAACTTCACAAAGCACAGGATATTGTGAAATCACTCAATATTTTTCCCATGTGAGCCTATGTATAGGGGATAGTTCAAATTACAGAATTTACTTTTAGAGTACTTGTGAAACTTTTTAGAAAGTCACATTTTAACATTTTTCAGAAATAAAATCTGCACAAAATGTTCTTACTTCACTGTATATAAAGGTCTATAAGAGGTCTAAATTTCAAAGTCAAATGCCTTCAAGGCTTAAGGTAGACTGACCAGAGGTTGTTGTGATCCCTGCTGCAATTGTGGTTCCTGTGAGGCACCAGGTGGAGCAATCCCCCTTGCACGCCCACGAGCCCTACCACGGGCTCTTCCTTGCTGCTCTGTCTCCATCCGTAATTCAAATATATATGGCCTGACTCTTAATATAGGTATGGATTGGATCTACAGACATTTGCTTCTATTTTCTGGATCATATGAAAAGAGATTAATAGCATAACAGTAATTTTTAAGTGTATTGGAAAAGAGGGATTGAGATGGCACAGGGAGGGCAAAATTGAATTTCTCAGGATTGGTAGTGTGGTAATAGCACATCTGACCAACGATTATGAGGCCCTAGTTTAATTCCCAGCCATTCCCTGGAGTTCTTTTGCCCTCCAACACCATAAAACTCTTTCCTATGAAGGTGTGATAGGCACTGGTGTTACACCAGGCCTTGGCTAAGAACAAGAAATAAAACTGGATGAAAAGGAAGTCTCTCATTTCAGGTAGCATAACAGTGAAAAACATGGAATCGATGACGCAGATAATAACTCTGGTTGAATCGTCCATGGGAATTCAACGTTGATAAGCCTAAGCCCCTTTCAATTTTGTGAATTTTTGGGCTTCATCGATCTTTTGGACAAAATGTAAGATACCTTGACTCGGCAAGTGAACAACCGTGACTACCGCAGCTGGAGGCCAATAACTTAAATAACTGCCTGCAACCCCATACACGTGCATGCGCTGCGCCATCTTGAACCTATCGCGCGCAACCCCTTCTAGTATTTTTCACTTTAGTTACAGTGCTTATCGAATGAATTCACCTCCCCCCCCCCCCTCATTTTATGGGCCCCTATGATTCGCCCGCCATGCTTTTCTATGACGCATCTGCGGATACTGTAACTGTTAATATCAACTAATCAATTTAGATGTCGCCCACCTCGTTATTTTCTGCATCCTCAAGCGGTTGGGGAAAACGTATTCATTCACTATGAGTTTCCCATCTAACTCGCGTAGTCATCCCACGAAATAACTCGTATTGAATTATCGGAGACTCTCAGAGAGATTATCACAGGCCCCCAACTTCTTTCTTTCATTCACTTCAATCTTGAGAATTACATCGATGACACATTGACTTACGAAGGATTTCACGATCATTATTTCGACTCAGAGGGGGAAATTTACAATTGCGTCTCGGTACTGTGACCAATGAAAAGCATTTTCGACTCTCTCTTCATGTGCAGTACATTCTATCCTCTCCAAGTTTATCATTTCGACATTTAATCTATTGACATAGGCATCGACTGGATTCTTGTCCATTTCCTCTTCTTCGATGAAAATATCAAACGTAAACCAATCGCCATTTGAGATTTTCCTAAAAGGAAGAAAGTTTCGGTGAAAACAGCGGCTTTTTTTCTGAGTAATGGGGAAGGATGCAGAAATTAAAATTTTCAATTTCGTATCACTCATCTCGGAATTCCAGGAAGATTGAGAACGGTGAATTTTTGCCAGGTGCGTCCTTTCATGGATGAAAAAATTGAAAGGTCAAAATAAATATGCATCCCAGGGATATACGACTGATTTCGTGGTTGCGTTGATGACAAGCTGACGATATCATTTTTACTTTGATGTCCTGACATTCCTCAAGGTTCACTTCATTCGAACTTTATTCAAATCATGAAAAATGCCATTCAGCAGTCGCGATGACTGCGGAAACACCGTGTCACACATTGTAGAAATATCCCAATCTGAAAGGGGGGGGGTGTGAATTCATTCGATAAGCACTGTAGACACATTTTCACTTGACTTCGACACCCATGCATGAGGAATGTCCCATGCACGTGTGTCTGAGTCACGTGAAAAATTTTATAACTCAAGAGAAAAACACTTCAGTAAAATGTGATTCCCAGGTTCAAGGTTGTTTAGTGGTATGATACAAGAGTCGATAACACCCATTTGGATACCACGTGTCTAGCACGTGTGCCTAGTACCACGTGTGCCTAGTACCTTAAGTCAACATTGCCCCCTTCTTGCTTGTCCATAGAAGCATCTAGTGTCTTCTTTTAAATAGTAACGGAAGGGGCAGTCACTATGTCGCTCGTCTAACGCATTCCACGCGTTTACCACTCCACAAGTGAAAAAGTCCTGTCTCAACCTGAGTCGCACCTACGGTTTACGCAACTTGAGTTGATTACCTCTCGTCCATCTTGCTGCCATCGAACTGGAAGAACCTACCACGCTCGAAATTATCTATTCCTTTAATTATCTTGAAAGCCTGGATGAGATCGCCCCTCCTTAACTTTCTCTCTCTCGTACAGTCCCAGCACTTCTAAACGCTTCTCGTACGGAAGTCCCCTTACCTCCTTTATCATTCTTGTGTCCCTCCTCCCCCTTGAGAGCCAACAATTCACCCTTTTTTGTAGGCCTCCAAAACAGGATGCAATATTCCAGCTGGGGTCTTATCAGCGCCGCATACAACGAAAAATTGATTTCAAAACGGCAGTTCAGTTGCAGTTCGGTTCTAGTTTCAGTTCAGACTAATGTCTGACTGTAGTTCCACTGTGGTCCAAGCGACTATTCACATAACAAAATCCCAACTGGAACTGCGACTGAACTAAAATTGGAACTGAACTGCAACTGAACTGTGGCTGGAATGCGGTTTTGAAATCAGTCCTCGCGTCCTGTTACATTTGGCCACCGTCGCTTACGCGTGCGAGGAAAGCTTGCGGTCTTCGTCAATAGAAACTCCTAAATATTGCTCTCCGTTTGCCTCCCCCAGTTTATCCTCGCTAAATGCGTCGAGAAACCTACCGTTATTTCGACCGACGTGGAGAACTTTACACTTACTTTTATTAAAACTCATGAGCTATTTCTTGCTCCACTCATCCAAAATATGAATGGAGCAAGAAATGGCTCATGAGGTTTAATCATCCAAATCTCGCTCGGCTCTAGCCCTATCCGCCTTTCCCCCCACCCCTTACAGCAGAGGTCGGGAACCTTTAGGGCTATGTGAACCATATTAAGGTACTACGGGAACATAAAAATCGACCCCCCTGGATCAAAATTCTGCTCTATAATTGTTGTAAGGGACCTCAAGAAAGGGCCTTGGAGCCGATTGCTGGCTCTCT